GTAGCACCCTTATATTTATTTTATTTTTTTTTTTGTTTAGGGACTGCAGTACACATTTATGATTTTTATTTTTTTTAAATGTATAATTAAAAATTATATTTTAATAAAATAAAGAAAAAATTAGAGAGTTTTCTAATAGAATAGAGAAAGAATAGGGAGTCTGTTGGGGAAAGTAAATGAAAAGTGATTCCTAAAATAGAGAATGAATTTTTTAATAATATCTTAGGATAAAATTTAGGTAAACTGGTGGGGATGCTCTTAGTGAAGAGATTGTTAAAGAGGGGAAGTAAAAATGTGTTTGTTTTGATGATAGTGTGGAAAATGATTAGTGATGGGATTGTTAAATTATTTTTATGTAACATAAATAAATAAATTATTTCTATATTAAAAAAAAACTAAAACAAATAGGTGCACTTGGTAAAAAAAAAAATTAAAATTAAAAAAATATTTTTTTTATATAAAATAGACTCAATTCCCTCACTATTTTCCTAATCCCATCTAAAATTCACCCAAGTTAATCCTCCTACAAATGGGAATTACTAAACCCCCTACACTACTAATCCTATGATATTTTATTGCATCCAAACAAGGGTTTGGTGGATTCCACGGATTGGTAATCCAATCCACCCTCCCAAACCCCCTATCGGACACGACCAAAGTGTCTAACCAAATGACTAATTTAAATTATCAAAATGAAATTCGTGATAATGACCCCACAAGTCCGAACAATACCCTCAAATCTGTATTAAGGACTGAAGGGGGATCCACCTCATTCTGCAAGGGCCAATGCTAATATGCACAAAAAAAATATATATATAGAGAAATATGTTAGAGAAAATAAAATGTGCAGTTGTATTTGGTTCACACCACACAAATTTGATTTTATATTAAAAGTTGTCACATCCAAATTATAGTAATTATATTTTTTCTCTCACAAAGTTAAAAAAGTCAAAAAATTCATCTTAAACAAGACTATTTTAATCCCAAACTAAAAAAGTTAAAAAATTAAAAAATCAAAATACTGACTTACATTCGAAAGGAAGCCTATAAATTTACTTGAATCTTTGTGTTCAATTAATCATCCATTTTTCTTTACAAAGCCATAAATTAAGTTATCATTATCAAATTGATTTTTTAAATTATCGCAATTCATAAATCCTATAAATCAGAACAACACCATCCTATCTAAATCTGAGACCGGTAGAAAGTCAGAATATTAGACTAGCATGTTAGCATTGGTTTGGCATGATGGGTTGGGACGAGTTGAGACTAAAATAGCTATATAAAAAGATGAAATAAATTTTTTAATTTTAGATTAAAAAATGTCATATTTAAATTATAATCATTTTATGTTTTTTTTTATGAAAGTTAAAAAAATTAAATTTTTTTATCTCAAATAAAATTTTTTAACTCTAAACTAAGACCTCGTTTGGGAACAGGATAATTTAGGAACTTTTTGGTTATTTGATTAACATATGAGCTAAAAAAAACTAATATGTTTGGGATGACTTTTTGACTTTTTATAAAAAGATGTGTAAAAAGTAGAAAAAAAAAAGAGAATCTTTGACTTTTTTGTATGAATTATTGACTTTTTGACTAACATAGTAACTTTTTGACTTTTTAACTAAAACAAATGGTTCTCAAATGAGGCCTAAAAAATTAAAAAATCAATTTACATAAACGAAACTTAATCCATAAGATATAGTTGGCATAGCTGACCAAGCGCCACAATCGCTGGTAAATCAACTTGCCAACGCGTTACAACTTACACGTGGTATGGAAAACTTACGGACCAAGCTACTAGTCCTGCTTATTCACTCACTCCAAATCTTACTCACATGCTAAAAATAAGCAAAAGTTATAACACATGCCAGCTCACCGTGTTTGAATAGTGTAGAATGATAAACATGTCAAAGTAATGTCATCATAACTTTAATTTGAATTTTACACTCGGTTCGTTTGGGTGAAGATAGGGACAATTACAAAAATATTTTAAAGTTTGAGTCTTTTAATAAAATAAATTTCATATTTGTAATTTTATTAATTTAAATTTTAATATTTTAATTTATTTTCATTTTAAACTATTTAATTATTTTTGTTAAGTAAAATCGATAAAAAAAAGTTTTTTAGTCATTAAACTCAATGCAATTGTATATAAAATAAATAAAATATTATTTTTCATTGAGTTTAATGACTATAATACCATATTTTCTGTCAATTTTACTTAATAAAAATAGGTAAATAATTTAAATTGAAAATAAATAAAATTTTAATATTTAAATTGACAAAATGAAAAGTTTGAATTAATTTTGTTATAAGGTCAAATTTTGAATTTTGATTTTTTTTTAATTTTATAATTATTCCAAAAAATAATTGACGATCCTTATTCTTAGATGCGGTAGGCACACAAAACAATAACAATAATTTTATAGCAATTATATATGTGCTAAAAGTTATTTGTTATTGTCATTATTGTATTAATTTATTAAGTTTTATTTTACCTAATTTTTTTAATAAGTTTTATTATTAATATCTGATATAATAATATATCATAGGACAAATAAAATATAATTATCATAGTATTACAAATTTTGTTATAATCAACAAATTTTTGGTAATAATTAATAGGGAAAAAAAAGGTTCACCAATTTAAACTCAAATTCAAGTATAGAAGAAAACTGAATAGTGAACTTCGTTGTCCAGTCCGGTCCATTGCATTCTCAACATGTCTTTATTGAATGACCTATTCCGTTTATTTTATTAAAAGTCTATATACATACATTATTAATTAAAAAAATCCTGAAGCATATACCAATGGGATATTTATAAATATTTTCAAATTAATAAAAAAATTTAAATTTTAAATTTAATCATTAGTATTTATATATTTTTTCATTGTTTTAATTTATTATTATTTTTAAAGATACTAATTTTCTTAAAATAAAACTCTCTCCATCATATAAGAAGCTGAAAACAAGTGGTTATGGGGGTACTTTAGGCCGTGTTTGATTCACAAGACTAAAAGTGAAAGTATTGATAATCCTATTAAATTAGTATGATATTCATTATCCAATTAGAATAGTAGGATAAATTATCCCATTGTCTATTATTTGATTTGCATTGGATAAAAAAACATATAAATATAAGATTACAACTATATTTATCTTCTTTTTCAATTTTACCCTTTATCAATGTTTCTTTACAATCTTTACTTTATCAAAAAAATTTCATAAACGTGGTTTTAAAAAAAATTATAAATAAATAAATAAATAAAAGCAAAATAAAAATACAAAATCCAAAGGCCATGTTTGGTTTGTTTTTTTAATTTTTTTTAAAAATATAAACTAATTTAATAAAATAAATATCAAAAAATATTTTTAAATTTTTAAAAATCATTTTTAGCCTTCTAGAATATAAAATTATATAAAAATAATAAGTGTTTTAATTTTTAGTTAAGGGTAAAATAGTATTTTTATTTTATTTCTCAGTTCAGGATGTATAATCCCACCTCTACTCCATTACTAATAATCCTACAAATCTATTGAATTAATTATTCATTGGATTAATAATCTTGAAGCAAAATTTCAGAACAAACATAGGATTATTGAGATCACAGAGTAATAATTCTAATCTCATTCTCTAATTTCGTCAATCAAACAAATCCTTAAAGTATGATCACATGGTGTTTTAGGGTATTGTGATTGGTGAATAAGATAGAGTCTATAATTTTGTGTGAATAATATTATATGTATCAATTAGTATATTAATAGATGATGTGGCATAATTTTAAAAGTTTTAAATATTTATAATTTGTATAATAGGTGGGATCAATAATACTATCATAATATATATTGAATAGATAGAATTAATAATACTATCATAATATATGGGTAATGCTAAGGACACCAAATTTTCTACCAAATAAATGACCAAATGTCTCACATGGACGCGGGGTCCGCAATTTTGTGGGCCCCACACCCATTGCGGACCCCACACCCATGTGAGACATTTGGTCATTTATTTGGTAGAAAATTTGGGACCTCTAGTATTTTCCAATATATATTGATATGAGTAATGCTAGAGACCCCAAATATTCTATCAAAAGTTTTACCAAATGTCTCACATGGGTGTGGGATCCACACAATATGGGTCCCATGTGGGTCCCACACCCATGTGAGACATTTGGTAAAATTTTTAATAGAATTTTTAAGACCTCTAATATTTTTATCTTGATATATTATTTAGTACACTAATTAATACAAGTGACTCTACTGATTTTGTGTCCAGTGATAAATAATAATAAAAAAAACTCATATATGAACACGTGACGTGGGCATTAAATGGTTTTTCCTAAAAAACCGTGTTTCATTTCACGTTTTATTTTGTGATTGTTTGGAAAGGGGATTTTTATGTAAATTTTTTTAGATGTAGGATTTTATTAGAGAAATTTTTTTTTTGGATGTTTGCATAGAAAGTTGAGTTTTTTTTATACTTGAATGTGATGTTTATGAGAAAAAAAATGAAATAATTATAAAATTAAGGGAAATTTACCAATAAATCCCATTTCACAAACTATTAAACCAATTAGTCCCAACTTTATTCTTTTGTTCGGATAAGTCCTATCAGTGGGGAAGTTTATTTCTTGTTAATCCTATTTTTCATATTTAGTGTAACTGTGTGGACAATTTTACCCATTATTGTTTTGTTTCCATATACGGTTGGGGCCATCAACAATTAAATGGGACTAAACAGTTTACTAGAATAAAAATGGGACCAATTGGTTCATAAGTTTACATTTTGGGATTTATTGATAAATCTCCCTAAAATTAAATGTGATATTTTATTTAAATTTATTTTTTTTAATTTTACAAAAAAATTTGTCTTTTAGTTAAAAATAAAAAAAATAAAAAAACCAACGCACAAACTTCCCAAACACCACCTTTGACACACGCAGAGAGTCCGAGTTTTCGTTTATATGCGTGTATATAGGCCACACAAAATTCTTGAAACTTCCAGCGCGAAACTCGCAAGTTGAAGGTCTGTTGGCTTCAATCTCAGCCACTCTCTACGGGACAAAAGGAAGAACCTACCCCCAAGTTTGAGCGATTCTCTTCATCTTTCTTTAAAATTCTTGTTGAGTCCCCATATTAATTTCGTTCGACCTCTGGCCGAGAGAGAGAGGTCGCAACCGAATGCCAGAGATCGAGCATGTCCCTATGACCTCATCCTCATCATCATCAGTAACGAAAATGGACAACGCTTTATTCGGCAAGTATGAGCTCGGCAAGCTCCTCGGCTGCGGCGCTTTCGCCAAGGTCTACCACGCCCGCAACATCTCCACCGGCCAAAGCGTCGCCGTCAAGGTCATCAACAAGAACAAGATTGCCGGCACCAATTTAATGTCTAACATCAAGCGCGAGATCACTATCATGCGCCGCTTGCGCCACCCCAACATCGTCAAGCTCTTCGAGGTTTTGGCCAGCAAGACCAAGATCTACTTCGTCATGGAGTTCGTCAAGGGCGGCGAGCTCTTCGCCAAGGTTGCGAAAGGTCGGTTCAACGAAGATCTTTGCCGTAAGTATTTCCAGCAATTGATCTCCGCCGTCGGTTATTGCCACTCTCGCGGCGTCTTTCACCGTGATCTGAAGCCGGAGAATCTCCTCGTCGATGACAACGGTGATTTGAAGGTGTCGGATTTCGGGCTCAGCGCCGTCACGGATCAGATCCACAACGACGGTTTGTTACACACGCTTTGCGGCACGCCTGCTTACGTGGCTCCCGAGATTCTCGCGAAGAAAGGTTACGATGGTGCCAAGGTGGATGTGTGGTCATGCGGAGTCATCCTCTTCGTCTTATCCGCCGGTTATCTACCGTTTAACGATCCCAATCTCATGATGATGTACAAGAAGATCTACAAGGGAGAGTTTCGGTGCCCTAAGTGGATGTCGTCTGATCTCAAACGGTTCCTTTCTCGGCTTCTAGACACGAATCCAGAGAAAAGAATTACCGTTGATGAGATCACACGACACCCTTGGTTCAAAAAAGATTATAAGGCCATTAACTTTTACGAAGAACAGTTTGACATCAAGCACGACAAAGAAGAGAGAGCCGGTTCCTCCCTAAACGCGTTCGATATAATATCATTCTCGTCCGGTTTGGACCTTTCTGGATTGTTTGATGAATCTGCCGAGAACGGAGAGCGATTTGTATCGGCTGAGTCGCCGGAGAAAATCATCGAGAAAGTTGAGGAGGTCGTGAAGGTAGACAACGTTGTGAGGTTGAAAAAGAAGAAGGAATGGGGAGTGGAATTGGAAGGGCTGAATGGTAATTTCACGATTGGGTTGGAAGTTTTCCCCTTGACCGACAATTTGGTAGTTGTGGAGGTTAGGCCGACAGGTAGCAGTGCCTGCATGTACAACCAAGTCTGGAAAAATAAAATTAGGCCGGAGCTAATTTCCCTTCAGCAAGAGCGGCAGGTCGCCGGTAACTAACCTTTCTGGCGAGCACGGCCTGATTATCAGAGGTGCCGTAAATACAGAATTGATATACGGAATGATTTATGATTATTATTTGTTGAAACAATGTGTATTAATTGTTGTGTTTTGCAATTGTTGTTCGAGTTTCTACATATGAATTTTTCTAGTATTACATGTAGTATATGGCGGCTGTACATTTTGCCTCGTCAAAATTTTACAGGCGTTTTTGTTGTTCTGTACATAAAGACAACAAATGAAGAAAAAGAATAGGTATATTATGCGAAGTGGGTTCGATTTAATTTGTGTTTGGTGTGTTTTGTTTTTGAGCAATGGTAGAGGGCCCAAAATTTGTAGCTCAAATGTGGCGCCAAAACGACGTGTTTTGAGTACAAAACAACATCAAAATGGCCAAAACAACGTCGTTTTGGCCATTTGAGCCACAGAATTAGGGCCTCAAGCATTTTTCTTTGTTTTTATATTTGGAGTTTTATTTGTGTTGTAATCAACCAAGAAGCATGTGTGTGCTGTTGGTTAAGTGATTGAAGGGATGTTTAATCACCTTCTTAAATATGATGATTAGCAGAATCCTTTTTTTTTATTTAAATTTTACTCCTTATTTTTTTCGTTGAAGTAATACTTATTCTTATTCTTACTTTAAAAAAGGGCAAGTGTCCTATGTTCCTTTGATGCTTTTAAATGCTCAGAACTTAAAGAGGAATATATAGGTGGAAAACAAAAAAGGGCAAGTGTCCTATGTTTCTTTGGTGTGTTTTGTTTTTATTTTATTTTTTTGAATTTCCACTTCATTAGTAGTTCATTAGTGCTTCCAAATTAGTGGGATGAATCATTGTTCTGTGAAAAAATAATTGGGTGGTCAAGGTGTCACGTGACTGTACTTTTTACCAATTATAAATTATTATATCTCTCATGTTTTTTAATTACGTAATATAAAATCGTGAATTTCATCTCTTTCATCAATCACAACATCTTTGAGGCACCATCTGATCGTGCTCATGACAAATCAATAACTTCTTATATAGGTGTGCTTTTGCTTACATCATTGATACTTAAGTTAATCATGAACTTTGTTTTTTAAAGATAGGAAACTTTCTCAGTTTTGGTTAATTTAAACATTAATAAATTCAAAACATTTAATTAATCAACTTACTGGACAATAATGCTATCCTTGTGCTTAATCAAAAGTAAATCTGATGGATGATTTACCAGAACCAGCACATCTAATCATGGTTAATTACGGGATCGTTAGTGGGTTTAATTACTTTGAAGTGATTAGTTGCAAAATTTATTCAATGAACTTTGTAATAATGGCCGAAAGAGGAAATGAATAATTGCTGTTTAGTTGTAAAATTGATGACACTCGAGATATGGACCCATATGAAATCATTTTATATTAACTGGAAACGTGAATTGCACTCGTAGATGGTTTTTCTGGTGAGACTTTTGAAGGATGTCCTACTTCCTTGGATGTATCAGGTGTGTTTCATGTGAATGATTTAAATTTTCACATTTTTCGCTGAGAGAATCTGTTTAATAGCTGTTTAGGTGGGGCCAGCTGATAACTTTTTGCTTTATTGACTCCTAGTATTTAATTTGAATAATAATAATAATAATAAATTAATTAGAGCTTTTTCTCAAATTCACATGAATTTCAACTTTCAAGAGGATTGTTAGGTCACCAATTCTATTTTGAAAGTTGAGGCTAGAAGAGAAGAAGACACACATGTACACACAGACACAGCAAGGCAAAGTACACACATAAGTGTGTCCCCAACCCAGTTGGAAATTAAAAAATATTTGAAAAAGCTAATTTATCATTTTTAAAAATCATATTTAATGATATATTTGACAAGTATCAAATTTTAATTTGTCAAATATTTCATCACGTGAGGTTTAATCTCAATATCATATCATTAGAGTTATTTAGGAGAGTGATAAATTAAGGAGATGTAACATTATTGTTGCAAATTATACAGAAGAATTGGGCTTCTCTGCTATTGGAGACAAGACTTTCAGTTGCAGGTCCATTCCGGCACCACATTATATATGGTAGTTCATGATTGGTTGAAATAAGGATATATTACAAATACACTCTTTGAGATTTGCTTAAAGTACAGATTGTCTCTTGTAGTTTAGAAAATTATAAATTCTTTCTTATTTATTTTATTTAATATAATTAACTAAAAAAATCAAATTCATAATTATTCTCCTATACAATAATAAAATTACCTAAATTATTAATTGAAACATATTTCTAATATTATTAAAAATTGTTAATTGACTTGATGATTTATTAATAAAAGAGGCGATTTGTTATGAAATTAGAAATCTTAGTGGGTGGAATGTAATTTCCAAAACCTTAGGACACTACAAGAAATGTCACTTTTGGCTACCAAAATATTGGTCGCCAAAAGTCACTTATTTAGTCGCCAAAATGAATTAGCGACCAAAATTTTTCGTCGCTAAGCTCGTCGCCTTTACCCTGTCGGCGATAGTATTGGCGACTAAAATCTGTTTGGTCGCATTAAAAATTGTTAATTGACTTAATGATTTATTGATAAAAGAGGCGATTTGTTATGAAATTAGAAATCTCAGGGGTGGAATGTAATTTCTAAAACCTCAGGAGACAATTCGTATTTTAATCAATTCTCATGGGGTATATTTGTAATTTACCCTTGAAATAATTATAATCATGATTTTACCATATTTATTTGCAAATAAATGAATGACATATTTTTAAAATTATACTTTTTATTCATTTATATTTGGAAATAAATATTTCAAAAAAATTTATGTGATTATTATAATTTGTTATATTTGATTTTTTGAATAAATAATCTACACATGAACATGAAAGATGATTGAATTGTATCATTAAAATTGTTAGTTGGACAACGCATACCAAAAATATAAATAAAAAACAAAAAAAATTTCAAAATATCATAATAATTTTTTACATTTTCATTAAAGCATCACACAGTTTTTTGGAGAAATTATTAATAAGTTCTATTTTGATAGCAAGATTACTAGTAGTCTTATCAAATTTTAATATCAACAATTAAGTGTTTTTTTTATAACTATAGTTCAAAAAAGTTTAATTCTTCATATTGGCATGTTTTATTCCAATTTTATTTTTTTATTTTTTTTATATTAACATATGAATAACAATTGGATAAACAAATTACATCAAATAAAATCATAAACAACAATGTGATCAAAAGAACTACGTAACATGTTATACGATTTATCATTTTTTATTACCTCACACCATGAAAATATATTTGGTAAACAATCTATAATATTCCATTGAAATATTTGTGAGAAATAATATTGTGACAAATTCATACATTTTTTGTAGTGCGACATAATAAAAAATAAAGAATAAACTTAGAATAAAAATACAAACATAAAGAATTGAGTTTTTGAGAATTGGGTTAAAAGCTAATCAGCTTGCTTGTTTTCATTTTTCAGAAAGTACTTTTCAGAAAATTCTACTTTCTTATTTTTCGTATTTTTTTATTTTTACTGATTTTTTTAATATTTTAAGCAATTTTTTTACTTTTTAGACACACCTAACATAAATATACCTAAAAAGTAAAAAAATTGTAAAAAAAATCTTTTAAAAATTCACTAAATACCAAAAATACAAAAAAAAAATACAAGAATTTAGTACATTTTTTATATTTTTATGTATTTATTAATTTTTTAAAATATTTTTTCACAATTTTTTTACTTTTTAGATACATCTAACTAAGGTGCATCTAAAAAAGTAAAAAAAAAATGTTTAAAATTTAAAAAATATTCACTAAAAACAAAAGAATACGAAAACAAAAAAAACTCAGTTTTCAAAAAATTTAATCTAGAAAACTCAAACCAAACACATTGAATTTTTTTGACAAAATAAAGAGGTAAGAGCATCCGCATCAGGATCACCGAAATAACAAAAAACTAAAATATAGCTAATAAATCATCAAATGCTCCCTCCATCAGCCTCAGCAAATTTTTTCTAAATTAACATTTTTCTTAGATTTGCTACAGTACTTCAACAACTTTGTTGAGGCAATGTTCATTCGTTATATGATTTTATATTATATTTTCTCCAGCAAAACTGAGCCAAAAACTGTAAATCGATCGTCCACCTGGATGTCCCCCCGAACATCCCACCGGATGTCCATGAGTTGCTTGTAGCAAAAAAGGAAAAATGCTGAAAATTAGCCTAACCGGTCGACCCGCCGGTTGACCGGTCAACAGCAAATTTTTTTTTTTGGTTGCATTTTTTAAGAATTGTTTGAGTAGCACCTCATCAATTTAATAAAAAAAGAAAGAATAACAAATACAATAACAAATTAATATTTTAATAAGATTGACTTAAAATAGAGAGTTTGATGTAGTGAATACTAAAAAGGTGACTAGTTATAATAGAAAAAGTGAATTTGGGTTAAATTAGTCTAAAAATTTGAAGAACTTGATGCGGATGCTCTAATATGACAAAAAAAAGTCAAAAAGCTGACTTTTAACCCTAGAAGCCAAAATAGGCCAAACTATCAAAAATAGGAAATAGGACTCACCAATAATATTAAGAGTAAAATAAGACTTATTGATAATTTTGTTAAAATAATCAAATTAATTGAGAAGTTTAATAATTTTTTTCAGGAAAAATTAGTGAAACATCCCTCTCCAACTTTTTGCAGTAAGAAAGGTCCAAATTTTTTTTTTATTAATTAAGGTCCTTCGATGAAATTTCTCTGTGGTTATACTAGAGAAATTTTGAAATTTCTCTATGTCAAGACAGAAATATCTCTGATTCGAGCGAAATTTTTTTGAATCGAATTTTCTTTGTAAAAATATTGAGGGACAATATGAAAATATTATATATCCTTTATCTTATAAAATCTTAATATTAAGGACTTTAAAAAGAATTTCTTATTTTTTTATTATATTTTTTTCTAAAATAATATAAAATATAAATTAAAGAATGTATCATTTATTATTTTATTAGAAAAAAAGTCAATAGCGTTACTTAAGCGTCGTTTGACAACTATATATTTTAGTTAAAAAATTAATTATTATAAATTATCATATTACTCTCTTTACTTTTTTTTTTTATATATTTAATTTTATAAAAAATTAAAAATTATTAAAATAATTTATTCTCAACCACCTTTAAACCCATACCACGTATCATGTACAAATAGCGTGCACAATCATGATGACATTGATAGTAATGGATTACCAAACCAAAACCGCGTGGACAAATTCAACTAACCTTTCAACTACAAGTAGAAAGTAAAAGTGATGCAAATTAGTATTTTTGTTTTAATTTTTATTATAAATAAGGTTATAAGTTTTAGGCATTCAATCTATATGCTTGATTAAGAAAATAGAAAATTTTCTCAATTCCTAGAAAGAATTTCTAGTTTGAATTTGTTCGGTCTTGTTCATCATTCGATACGTTGTCCTGCATCAAACACACACGTAGAGAGAGAGAATATGTCCATTGAGGCTGATTTTGATATTTCTGTCGGCTACGCTCACTGCGTTTTTCGTATTGAAGAATATCAAATATCACTCCGAAATTCCTCAAGATTCTTTTACAAATTCAGTTGAATCTTCCGCACCGGTCAATCCATCCTCTAAGGTCCCAATTCTGAAAAATTATTGATTGGTCTAGGCTACCACGTTGTTATGTTCTTAACCAATCACAAATCACTATATCTTTTTATATTTCTCAATCACCTAATATAAAACCTACGGAGTCTATCTCTTCCACCAATCACAATGCACATGTAACATTACTTGGCGCGATCCTGACCAGCCAATAACTTCTCCCCAATTCTTAACCTTCTCTCTTTTTTCTATTTCTAGGTTTCGAAGCAATTTGTTCTCACCACTGACTATTCTCTCTATTATGAAATTGCAAGTTTGGGGGGCAATTAGGACTGGTTTTTGCACTTTTATCGACATGGCAAGCGGTCTCTATCTCTGGAGGAATTTCGTTTCATCTTCATCTTCGTCTTCATCTTCCGAGCCCACCTACTGATATGTTGTAGAGTTTCATATTCTTTCTTGTTTTGGGGCCCTTTCTTATTTCTATGTAGTGTGTTGCTTTTGTGCTGCTTGCACTTGAATTTCATATATAAATTGGAAATTTGTTTTCTCACAATTTGTATGCCACTGTTGGCTGTAATTATCTTTGCCTCTAGAAATCTGTTTTTCTCTTTTATCTATCCGTATGATTTGCATTTGTGTCCAATTAATAATGTACATTTAGCAATGTTTGGATAGTGTTTTCATGACTTATGGGATTAATAACCGCAAATAACCATGGAGGACAAAAAAATTTGTACGTACGCGAGTGTTAATTTCCAGTTGTTAGAGAATTTTAGACAGATCATGTATGGTCCCTAGCTAAACTTGTGGACATGTGTCTGGCACCGTCTAAAAATAGTTGTCTTGTTTGATTGTTTAAGAAATCCACCCTTCGTGTTTTGGCTCGGTTTGGGAAGTTGGCTATTTTATTGGGCTATTTGACTTTTTAGCTATTTGTTTAGCTCAAAAAATTGTGTTTAAGAAGTTGGTTAGTTGTTTTTTGTAATTGATTTCATGGTTATAAGAGAAAAAGTAAAATGATTATTGGTTAAATGTGATATTTTGTCTTATTGACTATTTTAGCCTACTTTGTCTTTTTATGGACTATTTTAACCCTACTCTTTTTTCAAATAAGGCCTTTAACTCATTCAGTCTTTGGCTGTATCAAGATCAGTTTATAACTTGATAATGCAATAACTTCAATGATGGATGGGTCGGACTGATCCGCACCTCTAACGGGCCTGCTGGCCTTTGTGTCCTCAAAGCATGCTTGTGAAAAGGTCCAAAGGGGGACATGATCCTCCGACGGAAACTCCAACGATCAAGTTAGTGTGGGCTCGCCTTTTTCCGTGCCCCCGTTTTTCGAAAAAGGGTTTGAAAAGAAAGGCCCTCACAGTTCGGACTCTACCTGTGGTTCTGAATCTAGTCTCACAAGTGCAATGTGAGACTGATAAACACCAAAGAGTCCAATCTGGCAAATCGTTTTGGAAAATCAGATTTTGAATCAAATAATGCCAAAACTGGAATGCTTTGCCAGATTATAGAGTTGCCACTTAAATATTTTTTTTTTAGAAAAATTTAGGAAATCCTAACTCGTGCCAAAGGCCACGTGTCTGTCATTACCAAAGTTGCATCGGCTTGGAAACTTGGGTACGAGGGGGGAAGGTCATGAAATGAGCACCCCTGCTCGCCCGATCAAAAGATCGGCCTCTACTAATCATGATATGGTCTTTTATAAACATTATGTGTTCTTATTCTGGTTATTAAACTAGTTTTACTATGTGATGCACACAAGCAAGTATAGACTAAAATTGCAAGAATTGGAACAATTCAACTCATGTTTGTTTTCAAAAATGGTTTGAATTTGTCACCCTTAAGTGGGCATGGAAATGCGGATTTGCTACCTGAAGTGGGCTTAAAACATGATTTCGTCACTTTCCAAAGTGGGCTTAAAACACACATTTGATGAATTGTTCCAATTCAAACAACAAGCCTTCATCCACAGGCATTCATGTAATTTAACATTTAAGCACATAGCCTCATGGCAAGCATGCGAAACATGGTAATATGGCAATCACACTCATGCAAGCATGCTAAAGCGTAAAAGCTCACCGAGTACTCCAAGCCAAAACAAAAGCTAGTTAGAAACAATGCATGATCCTGACTATACAAGATGCCTAATGCAACACATGCAACATGAAATTAATAGGCTCGGCTACTAATACGGTATTTGCAACACTTTGATAGCATGCTTTGAAACACGTATTCAAAGAAGTATTGAATTGACAATGCAGTTTGAATGATGCGCCAAGCCTCGGTACATGCAAGACAAATGAATGATGCAAACATGTAAGCATAGGGTATGCTAATCGAACATGATCCCTAATGTAACCATCGAAAGCGATTAAATAAAAGGGAGAAAGACGTGGGGTTGGAAGACATACACACACATACGCACACTTATTACAATATCATGCCCTCGCAAATGAGGGTTCGAATGAATAAGAGCTAAGTTAACTAGCTACGCTAATTAAGTTAAGCTATTACAACATAATTAATTAACTATTCTAAGCTAATTAATTATAACAAACCAAATTAAGCTAATTAATTACAACACTTGTATGAATGAATTAGCTATGGCTAACTGATTAAACAAAGCAAGTAAATGGCCTCGAGGGCGAGGGACGCATGTATGCTCGGATCGTTTCCTCCCGAAAATCCACCGCCTTGCCATCGGACACCTCTGTTTGCACTCGCTTGAACACCAATAGTGCTACCAACTTCCAGAACATCTCTGTTCCAACTCAGGAACACACTTGTGCAAAATTTCATTTCTGGCCGGTCGACTACCATTGGTGGCTATCGGCTACCATTGGTAGCTGGTCGGCTACTACTGGTGGTCGGTCGGCCACCCCTTCCTTGAACTTCCTTTTTTACTGCAACAGAGAGCAAACAGAGGCAAAATAGTGTATTCTCAAGGAGTGTATGTACTGCTACCCTCCTTATCATCACACAAGCTCAAAGGAGTATAGCTCTTGACTCTCAAGCCATCAACCAAGCATTTTTATGCATGATAGCCAAAGAACCAAGCTTGTACAAGCTTAATGAGTGCAAAACATGACTCAACAAAACCACTACCCTATCATGCATGATCAAGGGTGATGGTGACCAAGAAAAGTGGCACGTTTCATCACTTTGAGTATGAAACATCCAATTTTTCTCATGTTTGAATTAACGTCCGATCCGAACACATGCAATGCAACATGAAAGATGTTTATCTTGCCTCTTTTACTTGTCAAATTTTATTTACTCATTTTAGATTACCAATCCATTCTTTAATTGATTAGTCCAAGAGTGAGTGTCGTCTAATTGAAAGTAGGCTTAAACCACAAGTGCCTTGAGCAGGAAAGAGTCCTCATGCCATTGGTTAGTAGAAACCCTCAAAAGAGGATTAAAATCATTAAGCACAAGTGTCTCAATTTCACACTCAAGCCAACAAAGGGTTCAAGGTCATTTTCAAGATAAATGAAAGAGTGAAGAATAGAGGGAGATTGTAGAGATTTCAGTGCTGAAATGGAGTCCAAAAAGACATTAAAACATGCAAGTAACTCATGCAATTCATGTTTGAAAGCCTAAAACATTAAGCTAGTGAAGCCATTTGCATTACAACTATGCAAAACAAGACTCATATGACCAAAACAGCCCAAAATAGAGCTAAAATAGTCCAAATCAAAAGCAAAAATATCCTAGAGATAAGCTAAGTTAAGCTACAAAAACATGCTACCATATAAAGCTAACTAGGCATGCAAGTAAGACACAAGGAGGGGAGGCTAACCCCTTCAATTCTGGACTTCAAAACACGTTTTCCACCATTGAAATAACTCTGAATTTCAGTGGTTTAAAGGTCCAAAAAGTTTGATTTGAGAGCCTTAAAAGATGGCACAAAATGCTTCACAATTAGGTAACAAGAAGGGTGGACTACCCCTTCACACAAAATGACCTTAAACCATCATGTTAAGGCTAAAAAATCAGAGTTTTTTGTAATTGAAAACTAGGCCAAAAATAGTATAAAAAAATGGTAAAACAAGTAGTTAAAACAAAGCCTAAAAGGTAAGACTTATACCTCTTGAAGGACAGAGCAAAACAACCACAATTTCAAGCTCAAACCTCCTTCCAAATGCTCAAACTAGGCTCCAAGGGACTTCAGCTCCAAGGTAGTCAAGTTTGGTTAGGGGTTAGTGTGCAAAGGTGTAGAAAAAACTAACTACCAATCATAAAACAAGAAGAAAGAGAGAATTCTAGAGAGAGAGAGAGAGAGAGAGAGAGAGAGAGAGAGAAAATTTTGATCCAAAATGTCTAACCCTCCAAAATGGGGCAGGACACCCCCTATATATAGAAAATCAAGATTCAAGCTTGTATGGAGATGCACCTCAGTGATCAACAACTGGCACAACTAGTAAACAAATATCTGAAAAAGGAGAAAAATGGCCGCTGGCCATCACTAGTGGCCAATCGGTCATCAGTGTGGCCGACCGGCCACCACTGATGGTCGACAGGCACAAGCCATGGCTGATGGACTGTGGAGATGGCCGACAGGCCACCCTTTCCTCCAGACTTAGAACAACAAGCTCTTGGTCCACAACCAAGCACAAAATAGACAGGTTTAGAGGCTCAAAGACAAGACGCTCGGCCAAGATCTTCGGGCACTCAAAACGAACACGAGCATACAAAACCACCGAGTGTTCAAACGATGACGTCCAAGTCTTGAGGATGGTCAAAAATAGGGTGTCTAAAGTTAGGTTAGAGCAAATTGACTTGAGAGAGAGAGAGAGAGAGAGAGAGAGAGAGAGAGAGAGAAGCATGGGGGATAGAAAACTTAACCTCGACGTATCTTGAAAACTTCCTTATATCCTTTATTCATTATTTTCTTGTCCCTTTCAAGCTCTCTTGTTGGCCGAAAGTCTATAGCCTAGTTGACATCGTTCATAGTGAGTCTGCTTCTTCCGACGTGAAGAGGTTGCCACATTTAATGCTACGAGGGCCTCATTAAATGGCTGATGTGTGGGTGCAATAACTTTGTAGGATCTTTGTTTGCTTACGTGGCTAGGCCTCTGCCTGACAAGTGCTTGAATGCTATTGGTCCTGGCCTAGCATTGATTTCTCAGAGTTTTTGGGCTTTAATATCTGGGCTGGGAGCTGGTGTAGCTCGATTTTTTCGTGCCCTCTTTCGGAAGACGAATAAGTCCTACAGTATTAGACTCCCGCAGTTCTGAATCCGTTCTCATAAGTGCAATGTGAAATAGATAAACACCAAAAAGTCTAAATCTTACAAATCTTTTGGAAAATCGATTTTGAATCAAATTACCAAAAATGAATTGCTTTGCCAGATGCAGAGTCTCCGCCTAAGTATTTTTGAAAAATCTAAGAAACCAATGACTCGTGCCAAAGGCCACGTGTCCGTCATCACCAAGATTGTCTCGGCTCGGAAACTTAGGTACAAGAGGAGAAGCTCATGAATGAATTGAGCACCCCTGCTCGCCCGATCAAAGATTGACCTCTACTAATCATGATATGAATCTTATGTACATCATATGCTCTTGTTCCGATTATTAGGCTAGCATTACTAAGCGATGTGCATAC